ATACTCAGCCTAAATTTTGCTTCTCTGGGCAGTTCTAGCCCCAGTGTTACTCCCTGTAGTACTCCTGGTTAAGTATTTGTTTACCAACAACATAACTCCAGTGTTAATATTGCCCTTCCCTGACTGATTCAAATGGAGCATGTCTGGTACCTGTAGCAATAAATTTTGAAAAACTCCTGGCTCTTAGTCCAGTGGCAGAAGTAAGATTAATTTGATTTCTTCATAAATCCCATTGTTTCAGTTTATTTACATGCTACAGCCAAATTTCTGTTGTCTGAGTGAGCCAGGGTCAGTGTGGTGTTAAGGTCAGAGATATAGCAAGGACATCTCAGTTCGTGCTGTTACTTTTTTAGAGACTATGTAGACTTTTTAAGGAATAAAATGCCCTAAAAATTCTGATAACAAAAAAAAAGATTGAGAGAACAATTAACATAAATTACTAAATCAATTAAATTTTATGTTGAGTTTTGTAGACTTTGCTCAGGTTTTGTCATTCAGGATTTTCTTTGTACGTGTAAGGAAAACAGCACTTAGATTATCCTCACTTCTAACAGGAGGGAAAAACATGACAGAGATTTGTGTCTCAGTGATAAAACCAGCAAAAATAGAACATTTATGATAACCCAGACATTGAAAAACATCAGTAAAAAGCCCCCTGAGCTCCATGAACATGTTGCAGGCTGCACATGTCACATAACTACGGACTACGATTTTTTTGCCTGAGGCTCCCACATTTAACAAAGGGAAACACTGCTTTCAACAAAAGATGCTATTCTAGCTATGTGCCCTTTTACCCTGTCAGAGGAACAGCTGGTATCATAAAGTCACAGCTAATTTGTATCATATCTGCACTAACAGTCAGATTTAGTTTGTATCAAGCTTTCAAAGTTGGACTTAATGCCACTTGATGGATGACAGCTTTTCTTGCCTCCCCCTTCTCAAAATATTTAAACGTTGCCTCCCACATTAAAAAAGCCCTCCCAATATTCAAAATACAGGGTCTTTAACATGCTCACATAACCAAAATACATATTAAAGATAAATCGTTAAAACTACCAAATTAAAAATCCTAAAGAAGGGTGAGAATACGATACCATCAGTTCTGAAGTTCAGTGACAAATAAAGAGTGCTTTAAGACAGAAGTGTGGGTACTAAGTGTAATGGAAAAGAATTTTATCCTAAAAAGAAGAGCAGAAAAAAATCCCTGCCTCAGGTAATCTCTTGAAGTTTGGGGTATTTTTTTCTCCAGATTCCAGTCTGCCTGAAGAGACTGTAAGGGGTTTTTTCAAGGTCAGCACTCAACAATTTAGGGAAGACCAATTCCACTTATTTTTTTTAGGGGACCTGTTTCTCATTTAAGCTATTAAATATCATCTACTTTCATTTTAAGACCCCTGTAGCAGAATGCCTTAACTGCATAAAGGGACTCAAGTGCACGTGAGAGGCCAAAGATTCAACAGTTCCAAACCCACAGAGCTCACATGAGAAAAGGTTGCAAAAAAATTTCAAAAAAATTAAAAAAAAAAAAATCAGTCTCTTGTTGGCAAACAGGCATGGGGAACTTCCAGAGATTAGAAGTTCAAGCTCAGTTCATACCAACACCTAACAGGGATGGTGTGCTTCTGAGGCTACCCCAGCACAACACAACATGAGCTGGAGACAAGATACTCTAAAATTTCAGCCATTTCTCACTTCCACATTATGTAAAAATACTGGGCCAAGGCATATCATAATCTGAAAGCCTCTCCAAACTGTGGGCAAGGACAATTACACAATTACACAGTGTAATGCTGCACAGTGTAATCATTATCAGGATTCTGGACAATTGGTCCCATTTATCAGAGAGATAGGTGTGCTCTGTGAAGTTACACACACCAAGCCAACAATGGCCCTGGGAAGTTCAAAGCAGCAGCAACAGAAACGCAGTTTTTAAGTGACAGGAGAGCTCATTGTGATGGAGCTGAGAGAGAGCAGCTCTCTATGAAGACTGAAGAACTCCAGCTCCCAGCCTATCTGTCCCTCAGTGCTTGCATTGCCTGACTCAGAAGGGCAATATTGCACAGAGGACAAAGACACAGCTTCTGCTTGTCACTGCTCCCTGATGGACTCCCTGCCAGAGAGCAGAGCCAGAGTGCAGCACATTGCTGCCACCTCCTCTCCAGAGAGCTGGATCTGCTCCCCACCTACTGAGAAGATGCAAATAATCAACTCCACTCCCTTCACCCCAAGCACAGCAGTGATTCTGCCCTTACATATGATCCTTCTGCTTGTTCAGAATTCTGTTAATTTTTTCTTTCCAAATGTTCTTAAACCTCTGTCAGACAAGGCATGATTTGTCAGAAGCAGATTTCTCTTCAGCTACCCAAGTGTGTCCATTTTACAATTCCTATGTGCTGTAATTCCCGGAAAATAAAAAATGCTTTTAATCCACAACTTGGGATGAGTCACAACAGGTTTGGGTTCACCCTTAAATGAAGAAAAACTTTCTATATTTAAAGGATGCTCTGGCTTTGTTTACAGCCATTCCAAACAGTTGTAAAACCTCCTCAGCAAAACAAAACCCACCAGGCTCTCATCTCTCACAAAAGAGCTTTTCCCAAAAAGTGCCCCAGTTGTACTCAGAGGTAACTTGATGTCCCAGAAGTTACAGGGAAACTCGGGCAAGATTGAGTTCTACCCCTCCTTTTCCCAGTAGTAGAGAAGGGGGATGAGAGAAGGAAGACCCTCTGTCCATCTAACTTTACCTCACAAAGCCATAGAAAATATCTTCAGAGACTCTACAAAAATGCTTTTCTCCTAAATGATTTTTTAGGAGAAAAGCTGACCAAACCCATTCTTACACAATGTTTCCTAATGGCAAACATCTTTCAACAAAACAAACATTTCCAAGGAAAAATAAAAGACAATCATCTCTACCCAGTGACTCTGAACCTTAATCTTTGAGGGTAGCACTTATTCCTGAAAGTAATTCATATAAGCATGCTAGATTGCTTTCCAAATTCAGGTTTGACTGTATTCAAAAGCTAACACACGACTTTACAGGACTGTCATGATAATGCTAAACTGTTACTGCCCTTTATATTCAGACAGAGAAGTGTGTCATTTCTAGTACTGAGATAATGCTGGTTTTTTCCTTTCCAAATGAGTGTATTGGTCCACAACATTTGCTTTAATGATTTTTTAAAGGCAACTAATGGCCTAATCCATGGTATTTTCATTCATATCCTCTAAAACTCATCCCCCTGTTAAACCAGCTTTGCCATGTGAAAGAGAGGGTTAAATATAGAAAATATTATCAGATTTTGCCTTTACTTCTTTGTGACAGAATTCTTTTGTCACCTTGACAAGTGCTGGGCAAGCACTAGGGGGACTTCAGCATGAGAGAGGTGACATTTACCCTGCATCCTACATTTGGAGAAGATGACTGAGTCCCTGGAGGGTGGATTTTCAGATGCAATTTATGAACCAAAATAAGGAACCAGGCCCAGCTCAGCCTCAGTTTTGAGGATTAAAGTGTCTTCTTTCAACACCTGTCTACAGATACAACTCCAACTGCTGAGGTATCAGAAACACTCTGGAGGGCAGTCACTGCTCTGTTTGAACATCCAATCCTCAGCACAGGGGAAAAGGACTCACATTTATGACCCCCCTTGCTTTTGGACACTATGGCCTCCTTTGCCTGGATTCATATTTTTAAGGAATTTAAATACCTCATAAACGCACTACTTGTGGAAGCATGTGGGAACTCTAAGCAAGACATCTCATGGGAAGAAGTGTTCCATGGGAAATTCCACAACATTTTGGCCGGTTCTGAATCGAAAAGAAATCCTAATTTTGAAACATCAGCATTTCCTACAACTGGAAATACTAGATTGCATCTGGCTTCAGTTTTAAACACTCCCCCCACCGAAGGCTCGAAAGTAACACAGAACTGCAGAACGACACCCAGGGCAGAGAACAGCCTGCAACGATTATCAACCCGTTCAGCACTTGCACAAACCTTCCCAGAAGTGCAGACAAAGTTAAATTTGCTTCCCCAAGGACGATGACAAAACCTGCTGAAATGGGCCCGGGCCCAGCAATCCTGATGGGGAGGGAAGGCTGCTGGAGATGAGAGGCAATGCAAGCAGTGTCCTGCCTTCTGCTGTGTGTGCCTCCTGCTCCACACTGCTCTTGCCAAAAAAAGAGGGGCAGAGAGGCCCAGACACAGAAATTTATCCCCTACCAGTGACCAGCAGCTCCTTATACCCTGAACTGACTTAAAATGATGGTATTTAAGGGAGCTGGCTCAATGCTGGGGCAATATTTCTGACCCATCATGCTGCTGTCACAGGCACTGCCTTAAACTTTAGAGCCAGTCCACAGTTTGTCTCCAGCCTGGAATTTCCGTATATTGAGGGGCTAAAGTTTACACACATTATAAACACTTCCTTTAAATGGTTTGTGAGCCCTCACTTGTTCTGGCAGCGAAAGAACAATGTTTGTAAAAAAATGTCTAAGTGTTCCATGTTGTAAATGGTCGGTAAACAGTTACTTGGTCTCTCACTTCTCAGAGCCTGCTTGCTCCAAAAAGAAGACACAACAGGATAGCAGCATTCCAGCATATGATCATAACACAAATAAATATGATTTAAGGTTCCCACTGAAAGAAAAAATTGCTAAAATCCAGTGGAGAAACAGAGCTTTTAAAAGAATGGCCATACACCGACAAAATGATTACTGTAAAATGCAATGATTTTTGAGTTGAAGGTAAAATTCCATGTGAAATGCTTTAAATTAATTATCAATTCTGAACAAAGTAATCACTGGTGTCAGTGACATCAGAGGGACAGGAGCCAGGGGTCTGCTGCAGGGTTCTCCACTGATTTTCACAGGAATTTGGATCAGCCTCCAAAGAAATAAGAAAACACACAAGGAAAAAAAAAGCCTCAAATAAACCCCCCCAGCTTCTGAATACCACAGGAGAGGAAGTCTGAGGTAACTTCTTTGATCATACTCACAGGAAGGCAATCAGAGGAAATATTCTGAGCTTTTCAGTAACAAACCAGCTGCTTGATGAATCAAAACAACGACTCCAGAAAAATGAGGTGAACTCTATACAAAAACAGAAAAAAAAGAACCTTATTTAGCAAAGGTATAATTACTCTGCATTCTTCATTTTTCTTTGGTAAAGTCTGCTTTAATAACACCCCTAGAAAATTAGGGTTTTCTTAAGTATGGAACAAAACTTTAAAAGTTTTAAGACACCAATAAAACCCACTGTCAAAACCTCTAGAAATTAGAATTTGACAAAGGAGATTTTGATTTCCCAATACCTCTTAACCAAATCAGTCACTAAGACATCTTTAAGAAGTGAAGTTTATACAGATTCCTGTTGTTAAAACAAGATGAAACATCTTGTCTGACCAGCAGTGAATTTTCACAGCACAGACTTGTTTCCAGCCCACCCCTCTAAGGATTTAGGATATTCCATGCAGTATAAAAATGTTACAAAAAGCACTCTGCAAAAGCAAATAAACAGTAAGATGACAGCCTGTAGATGATGCAAAACTATTCCGTTTAATCAAACGTAAAAGTCAAAGTTTACAAATGGGGGAAAGAGCTCATAGCAATGAATTTCTACAGGCAAACAGAACTCATTTTGCAGAAGTAAAGGTACAGAAGGGATAAAAGAAACCCTGAGATCATTGTACAAACAGCATCAACTCTAAACAAGCCAATGACACTCAAAACTTCTTGGAGTGTGAGGAGGAGCTCTCTGAGAATAGTAGGTGGCTCCCTAAAAGGGTTGCCATGCATTGGAATGGACTTCCCACCCTGAAAAATTTCTGGGTGACCTGGCAGAAACCCACAATCAGGAAATGCAGAAAAAACAAGATTCAGTGAACTGGGGTATTTTTCCCTCTACATTCAGCTACTTCTTTGGTAGTGTACAGACACACCAGAGTAAGAATAAAAACTGCAAGCTTTCTTCAGAGAGCCTCTAGTGGTCTGTTCTCTTCAGAACCAAATACCTTCATGTTGAACATCTGCTGCCAACAAAGGAAGCGGATTATTTAAAAATCAACCTATTTTCAGTCATTTTAAGATAATAGCATGGGGTTGGTGCTTGCATTCATTTCTGGTTATTCACTGGAAACTCAGACTTTTGAGGACTCAGTATAAATGGCTGCTCTGTAATTTCAACAACAATTTTACAGTCTGGTCTCTAGGTTTTAAGACACCTGTCACTAATTCACATTATTGCAAATACTGGGTGGCCAAAGGCAGGAATTTGATTCAATGTATTAGGAGTTTCAGTACTAGATTCAAGAGATCTCAACCCCAATTTTATGCTGAGCATAACTGTACATATATCACATAAGAAATAAGAACAATTTAAAAAATCAACCCTGATTTTCAGGGTATGAAAAGAGAAATCAAGACCTTTAAATCTTCTTCTTCCTCTCCCTGGTTACACCTGCTAACAGCAAGAGCAGACCAGGCTCTATCAGTGCAGAGCCTCAACTCATGAGTAACAAAGCCCTTCCAGGTCACTGAATTAATTCCAACTTTTCCACTAAATTGAAAATCTTACTTTGCTCATTTCTGCGGTTTAATATGCCCTATTTGACTCTCAGCAGGAATAACTTCAAGACATTCAGATCATGCTTTTGGAGGGTCCTGAGTCCAAAAGTTCTTTTCTGCTTCAGACCATTTGTTCTCTTTCAATCTCTTCAAGATCTCTAAAATGGAGACAACCCCCAAAAATATTTTCATTTTATTTCCCACAATCATGAAGACCTCTTCTGCTGCTCTCCTTGTATTTGTTCTGTTCTAAATAAACACTTTTCTGAATCAAGTGCAACATAACTTGTGATATCAATAAAATGACTGAAATATTCTGTCACAGTGCTTGCCTTCCAAAAGAGTTTCTCTCCCACCACAATTCCATTGTAAGCTGACTATGGAGGGTTATGAACAATTTAACAAAAAGGTAATTTCTATACAACTTAAGCGTGAAGGAAGTTCAGGCTCAGGTCAAAAAACAGACTCCATAAATCCAACAAACATCCCTCAGGTTTGGACACGCTTTGGGCTGTCATCTTCAGTGGTAAAATTGGCACCATTTTTCCTGATTCCTCAGTCCTTCGAATTCCCCTGACCATAAACTTTGGGTTCATGTTCTGCTCTCATTTGTGCAATGGCATTAAAAGCACCCCAGGCCTTGCCACCCAGCCAGCACCGCACATTCAAGACTCAATTTCCAGCTAACAGGGGCACTGTTTTTCCCAGTGGGAATTCTGGGAATCATAGATTCCCAGATAACACAGGACAGTAGCCATTAAACACAATTTCAGTAACTGAAGTGCTTTTATCGGAAGTTCTTAAAAATGCTTCATCAGAAGTACTTTGTGGCTTAAGTTCAGGAGTTGCTGCTCTCTTGATTATAAAAACTGGAGAAAACAAATCCCATTCAAGGTCATTCAGCAGTTGACCTGTGACATTTGAATGTGGGTTGGGAAGGGCTATTAAAAATAAAGAAAAGCATGGTTTCACTGCACTCTGCTCTGTTAATGAGCCTGATTCCATTACACCTGAGAGTTTTAAATGGAAATAAAGTTACAGGGCCCTGTTATCAAACTCTGTGTTGCAGGTATTCCATTTTATCCAAGAGATCCTAGCAGTGATCAATATCAGATGTTTAGAGTAGAACACAGGGACAGGGAAAGTATATAATGGTGCTTCCCACAAATACCCTACAACAGCTTGTGACTTCCAGAATGCCTGAGTCAAAGGTGGAATCCATATATTTACTGATCTCCATGGCAGCCTTTTTCCATTAGGTTCAGCAGCTGCCAACACTGAAAAAAAATCCTGTGACAGAGTCCTCACTCACCTAGAGCACAGTTAGCTCTGGTATGCACACAAAGTATTCAGCATTGCATCCCAAACAATGGAGCAATCCCAAACCTGACAGCAAGGTGGTTAAAAAGCTGTCTGGGAAATAGCACACCTGGGTTTCAGTCCCACTTTCATGTGTTACCACTTAGGAAAATGAAATTGCATCAGTAGGAGAGAGTGGGAACATAAAGAGTAGTTGAGAAGTGCATTTGAATGTTCTTTGTGACAAAGGAGGTAACCCGGTCTACCTACTGCACTCTGAGTTAGCAACTTGTTAGATAAGAGGACTCATCCTCTAGTCAGTAAAAATAGCAAATATTTCACAAAATCACAGAACAGTGCAGGTTAGATGACACCTCTGGAGATCACCCAGCTCAATTCCCTGCTCCAAGCAGGCTGCCCCAGCACCAGGTCCAGCTGGGGTTTCAGTATTTCCAAAGATGGAGACACCACAGCCTCTCTTGGAAATCTGTTCCAGTGTTGATCTCTCATAGTAATAAAGTTCTTCCCTAAATCTAAATGGATTTTCTTTAATTTCAATTTCTGTCCTTTTACTGGTACCTTTAGGAAGACTCTGGTTTGGTTGTTTTTATTGTCATCTGTCCCTACTCCCATGGTGACAGAGACACAGTGTGTGACAGCCATAGAGTTAAGCTTGAATTTCACCCCAGTTACAGCTAGGAATTGTTATCCATAGATTTCAATATTGGCTGTTGTGCAAATGATTTCTTTCCTTGTGAGTCATGAGAAAGACAGCAGGAAACCGCCTTTTCTAAAAAAATAATGTAGGTGAAATATTTCTTTTAATACCCACTTCTTCCAGAACTACTTTTCTCCTTCTGATTTTTATGTTGTCACTGTTGTCATGTTATTTATTTATGTGGGAAGGCATTACAGAGGGAGCAATTAAAACTTTTCCTTGGACATGCTATGTGTAAGAAGATGAGTTTTCAATACAAGGATTTGGCAAATGAGTGTTGCCAGCAGCAGACAAGAAGCCTCAAATTCATCCATCACTAGGATACCCAAAAAAAGGTGCCCAAGGAATTTGACCTGGAAAGGGGACATATGTATTTCACACCTATGAGCTGCTCACCCAGACACTTGCACACAGCTTATCAACGCAAAATAACAGTTCAAAGTAAATAAAAACACCTCATGCAGCAGTGTGATTGAGTTACATTTAAAAACCATAGTAAAATCCCACTGGCTTCAGGCTAAACACACATTTACATGCTCTGCTGAACACAGTTTGCTGTACCTGTGCTCCACCTCCCAGAGGGGTGCAGCCACCTCCTGGGGGAAAAGTTGTGTGAAGGAGAAAGCAGTATGGCAGAAGGGAAGGGGAACATCTAAGATCCTCCTAATGACAAACTCATCAAAGCTTCAGAAAATGACAAATTTCCCCTCCACCATCTTAAAAATCCAATTATCCTTACACTGACTTGAGTAGTACATTGACAGTAGCAGGACACACTGATATTTTGGAGGAAAGCCACTCCTCTTGCATTCACAATGATTTTCTCTCAACAAAAGTGAACATCTTCCAGATACAATGACTGCTCTGCAAACAGGGTTTCATTCTGCACATCCTGGCATGGAACAGGAAAGAAAGCCAAGTGCTTCCTGAGGTTAAACACACCCAAAAGGAAGGCTAGGTACAGCTCTGCGTGAAAGTTGATGGCGAGATCTGCGCTTGCTAATTCCTGAAAGTAGAGAATAACAAAGTATGTGTGCATCTAAGCAGAGACTAACAAATAAGCAAAATATGTGTGCATCTGCACAGTTGTGGGCTGGAACAGCATCCTTGGCCATGCAAATATAGCACTTGCTTCCTTCTTTGGCCACATTTGTGCTACTAAGCAGAAACCATTTGCTAACCACACAGCAGTGGCATCCACATGGGCAGCAAACCAGACTCCTCATCTCTTCCTGCTTTGCTCAGCACTTACTGACCACAGGAACAAACAGAGGGCTGTGCTCCTCAGCTGCTCCATGCAGGACCTGCTGCTCTCACAGGGACAGCAGGAGCAGGCCGGGCCTGCTCCAGAGCAGCCATTTGTCCTCACTAAACCTCACTGCCAACAGAGCAGCGACATGCACAGCAAAGAAAAGCCAGCTAAAGGGGAGCATCCCCCTCTCAAATTCTGTGTTCGCAAGAGAAAACATTTTAAATTTTAAAAGCCAAAGCTGGTGATAGCCCTGTTTTT